GTTCAAGCTTCACCTTTCAAAAGCTTCACCAATGGTTACTTATTACTAGATGAAGACTGCAAATCATAACATCTGTAATCCCACACTACTCAAAAAGTATGAAGTCAACCAGGTTTGAGATAGATACGGTGACATATTTTTATTTTTATAAAACTTTAATAAAAAAATCGATTTGTGGAAAAGGAGTTAGTTTAGTTTGGTTGGGCCATGAAAGGCAGGCAATCAGTAATTTTCCTGGTTATTTGATTGAAAATTAAATAGCAATAATAGTCACAAAAGAAATGTTATATACTAATGAACATTATATATTTTTTATTACATTTCAAATTTAATTTCTCTGTTGGCCTAAATAATTTTTTGGTTGGCTGAAACATCCCGTTACTTAACAATTATATTATGACAACATGCATACCAATCCCCAGGCATACACGTCTTTGTCGTGGGTCTCAGTGGCACTGAAAAAAAAAAAAAAAAAAGAGCGTTCACAAAAACGTCACTAGCTTCATGCAACTTACTGTCGATAAAATATGTCATTTTGAGTCTATCAATTTCAAGTAAATAACCAAAATAAAATGCCCATAGAATGTTCGTATTTCGATGGGTCGACAAATTGGATAAAAATAATAGTATTTTCACTTACCAGAATTCTGACATTACGCCCAATGTCCATGACAACAACGCACCTGTTCCGTATTTTATCATGAATCTGTTTTACGGAATTTCGTCTTATGACGAAATGCTTCATTTAATTATTATATATTATTTTTAATTTGTATGCATTATAATACCAACATGTCAATTTATTTCACTATAATATTGCAATATTATGTTCTATAAAGTTAGTTAATGTAAAAAAACACCTTCATCCCAGAATGGATCCATTCTAGTTGTTGCAGGGAAGCGTCATTGAGGAGAGGAAGACCTCGTTTTGACCTTTGACCAGTCTTGAATTCTGGTCAAATATGTCGAAAAGTCTGTAAATATTCATAATAAAATAAGCCTGTGTATATAATAATAATAAACCTAGGCCCAGTTTTTTCAGCAATCTATTATTAATTAATAAAAAATTACTTACTATTCTGCCATATATTTTATTTATTTGGGACGAGATGGTTTTGAGACGAAGTAACCGCGGTCAGCACATACTACTGGCCTAAGCATGCGCTGCGCAGGTTGCCGACACGCTTCATGATTTCGTAGTAAACTTGGCCACCGAGCCGCATGTAGCCTGAACGAAAACGAAACACATTGCCGTTCACGATAGTTATTTGAAAACAATGACCCACAATGATTTCCACATTTTTTCGACATGACCGATGTAGTGGATTCGATGTCACATCACCATAAAACACAAATTATTCGTCAAAGCTTCACACCATTCATCATCTTTAATAGGTATGCATTCGATCTCCCATCACCAGAAAACACAAATTACCCGTCAAAGCTTTACACCTTTCATCAAATTTGTAGGTTAAAGCTTAACTCAATCAAGATAGAAGAACGTTAGGACTACAACAACAAATTTATTGACCTTAGGCTTCGACGTCGAGTCGACGTTGATATTTGGCGACCTCTGAGGAGGGTGGGTCCAGGCTTCAAAGTGACTCCTGCATTAGGCTTACACATCATGGAGCTAAATATTAATCAACAATGCTAGTATATAGTACTCAAACATGAATATTTCTACCTGTCTTCCACTCTTTTTCAGCATGATATCAGTCATGCTGACAAACACCTGAGGACAAGTAAAAATATTCATGTTTAAAATAAAATAGTGTTCTACATATTTACTCGACTGCATCCTCTTCGATCGATACCTTACATTTATTTTGATGCGAGTTTATTGTATATACTTATGTCATATATTAATGCCTCTCTATGTTTTGTAAATCTATAATATATAAATTTACAATATAATTTGGATGGCAAGCATCTTACCCACCAAGGTAGAGCTCCAGTCTCCATCAACATTGCAGGATTTGAACCCAGGATCCTACAGTAGGATTGCAAGGCAAGCATCTTAACATTGCAGGATTTTAACCCAGGACCATGATTGATTGATTGATTGATCGAACAATCTTTAATCACTCTCCACATTATCATATTTTATGATATATGGGCATGATGTTGTCATATTATACCCAAATATGGGCATATTACATTTATTTGTCAGATGAAATTTGATAGTGTGGACATTACTTTACAAAATGTATGTGATACTCACTGATATAATTAAATGTCAAACTCTTTGTAACAGCCACACTTCCTAGAACATTGTAACTTAAAATGGTGAGACTGCATGTAGTTGCAGAATTTAGGCGGTCATCCAAATTGCATGTGCTATTAGTTACCTTGCCAATTACTGTTGCACCTCTGTATAAAAAAATTGAGAAAATTTATATCAAGCAAACAGAATAGAACTGCAAGAGGCCCGCCCTCAGAATTTCGTTGGAACATAATCCTATTTCAAAAAGTACTACCACAAAATAGAGGGCGCCCTTCAAAAGGCAAGTTTCAAACTTTATTAGAATTCTAATAGGGCGCCTCTATCTTGCAGTAGTACTTTTTAAACATTTCATTGTGTATCAAAATCAAGGCAGTTGGACCGCCTGCAATTCTATACTCTTTGTATCAAGTAAAAGTGTTAATCATTATCATTTATTATTGCTATTATAGAATAAACAGAATAGAACTGCAAGCGGCCCACGTTCAGAATTTCGTTGGAACATAATCCTATTTCAAAAAGTACTACCACAAAATAGAGGGCGTCCTTTAAAAGGCAAGTTTCAAACTTTATTAGAATTCTAATAGGGCACCCCTATCTTGTAGTGGTACTTTTTAAACATTTCATTGTGTACATACAAAATCAAGGCAGTTGGACCCCCTGCAATTCTATACTGTTTGTATCAAGTTCACGTCCAACTTTATCCAGATATACCCGTCTTGAAACATGATACGATAATCCCCTAATTGCGTTCGATGCCAAGTTAGAGCCAGATAAACAGCCAGCAGTTTCAGGCTGTTGACGTCACACGGTGGAAAGGCTTGTTTAATAAAACATCTACTGTATTTTACGAACCTGTACTACCAAGTGGTATTCGTTCAAAAAAATTGTAAGCTACCGTAGAGAAGGTGTGAGTTTCCACTACCTAACCTAGCCGACCAGTACCAACCAACGACAGTGCAGCAGCGTGTTCTATCACAATCTAAGTAGTAGATTCTCTAGGCCCTAGCTAATTTTACCTTCGATAAAAAACGAATTATTTTAATCGCTAGGTAGCATTCTTCCATTTAACAAAATATTTTTTTAATTTTCATTAATACGTCTGTATACTTTATGGACCTTTCTGTCCTGTTTTGTAGTTTTTAGATCGCTCAATTGTGTTGTTTACATGCACTTCGCGAAAATCTGGCTTCGCGGTGTCAAATAAGTTGCTGACTTCCACACTTTTTTATTTCGTCATCGTAAACATGTGCGCTCATTTTAACGACTGGCGTTGGTGGTAGTTCGTTGAAACTGAATTAATAGCGACTATTATAGCAGAAATGGAAAAGATTGAATTGTCAATAAATAAATACAACAAATCTGATTTTATTATTAACGTTATTACTTGGTCGATGATGCAAAGGGCAAAGGTCATTGGTAATATCGACTATTCGTAAAACGGACGTTTGCTGGGTTTTCACCCATAATATTACAAATAATTTCTGAAAACCAGACTAATCAGACTACTTCGATGCAGTTGTTAGAATTGTTGGAGTACGTTGTTGCCAGCCAGAATATGATAATGGTGGTACAATACAACAACGCTGGCTTAGATGCCTACGTTACGTAATCGTGTCCTTGTAATCCGAGCCGACTTTACCGTTAAGCAAGTTAATTTACCGTTATTCTCGTAAAGTTAAGTCACTTAACTTTAAGTCACTTAAGCCTTTATCTAGCTATAATTGAGTGGTTCACATCGAACTTTTAACTAGTTAAGTGGATGTATATCTAGATAAAAGTTCAACGTGAACCAGGCTATTGTATCAAGTAAAAGTGTTAATCATTATCATTTATTATTGCTATTATTATCAATGCTAGTCTATAAAAAGAAACCAAAAAGAAAAACTTACTGATACTCTTCATAACAAGTGCAATTATAGTTGGTTTGTAGATTATTTTCTGAATTAGGAATCGGTGACCACTCGCATCTATTCTCACCTTGGTAATGTGAATAACAATGCAAGTTCTCAACTTTAGGAGGAATATCTGAAAACCAGAAAACAGGATGACATCACATCAAATACATGCTGACAGAATTGTGCATCGCTGACACAACGTTAGTCTAGTGCGAGGTGTGGAAAGACACCCTCGCTTACACCCAGCTCTCCCTCGCGCTAACCTGGAAACAAATTTGCATCTGCCCTGTTGTGTAGTGGTAGGAGCCGGCAATACTGACCTTACTGGGATGTAAAGCCTCACAACCTCCCACCCCCCACACCTTCCTGTTGTGTTAATCAATTAATTTAGCTAGTTAACATGATATCGAAAGTTTGGTAAGTGATTGGTTTCAAATTCGATAGAATGCAAGATGCGAGGTATGGAAAGATACCCTTGCACATCAAACCACCCCTAGAAGCTGTTTTACTCACCTCCCACTGTGACATATACACTCCCCAATAATTGATTTCCTTGAACACAGGAATAGTTCCCAGAATCTGTAACTGCAGCTGCATTAAGCTGAAAAATCACAGATTTATTCACAATATATTTTGTTGATTGTACTTCAACGCCATCTTTCAACCATGTGACCAATTCCAGAGGTATTGATGCGTTTGCATAGCAAAAGAAATGTCTTGATGTACCCATCAAAATAACAACTGAATTTAATTCAGAGACATACTCTATAAAAAAGGGAAAAAATATTATTTATTGAATGATACCACAGAAAATTCTAAATGCATGTTGTTTTTTTTTCCAGAAATTGTAAATGTCATTAAAAGAAATATTATTATAAATTGTTGGGATTTGTTGAATTGCTTTGATTGTTCTATCTCTGGTCTGATTGTTTTTGCAGTTTACTATTTGAAGGTACAGTTTAATCCTTGGATATATTAAATTGGTCAATGTTTTGGTCCCTCAAGGTGGCTACAAATAAGCTCTGCATTATTTTTTTTCTGCCATTAAGGCACTAAACACAGATTCATAGCTTTAAATAAAGCAAACACACAGCTGCATAGTCAACACAAATTTCTCTGTGTGACTGTATAAATTAATACAAAAATATTGTACTGTATTGTACACAACTTTTGGAGAAACAGGGAAATCACCAGTTCATAAACATCACTTAAGGCTCAAAAAAGTTTTTGTAATCTCAAAAGCTCTGATGAGGGCAGTATAATAGAGGCAGTATATTGGCCCTAATAGCCACACATACAAAAAAGATCTATTAATCAATCAGACGAGTGTTTCTAGAGCTACCTGAGGCAGTAGAGTATATTGGCCCCAATGGCCGCCCATACAAAATTAATCAATCAGCCTAGTGTTTCTAATGCTCCTAATCGGAGCTAAAAACAAACCATAATAAAGCTTGTCATATTGGGTTATGATTAGGCATTTAATTGGTAACCTTCCAAATTCCCAAATCAAATACAATATTTTCCTCCATCCCACAAAAAAAAATTGTGTTGTACATTACCTCCTACAATAACAGTGAAATTACAAAGGTGGTCTCCATTTGCTAGACCATAAGAATAGTTTCCAGTATCACTAGGTCCAGCATTGTGTAACACTTAAAAATTCCCGACACTAGGCCGGCCCTGAGGCGGCCCTGGGCCGACGTAACTCTCAAGTGTGATTGGGCTCTATCCCCCTGACACAAAAATCAAGATATGTGCTGAGTGGGTTTGAATCAAGCAAAGTATTAAATAATTATTAATGATTATACAATTTGGGGTTGGGTCTGTCTCTTATACACATCTAGATGTGTATAAGAGACAGGTTTGAGACCTTGCAAGTTAATCCTTATTCATATTGACAGTAATATTTTAAACACTAATTGTTTTAATCATTGTACAGTATTGTATGTAAAGTATTTGTCACTTGAACTTTAACCTTAGCAGCTTAATAACTATTTGGAAAGGATTTGAAATGTAAGTGATTTTAATTCTGTTAATTCATTGCACTGCTTCCAATCAGTACCAGCAAATTTGTGAATATTTATTAGGCCGGCCTAGGGTTGCCTTAAATTACGGCCGACTCAACTTTATTTCCGTTCACAGTTATTGTTTTAAGTTGTTTTAATTCGCCCAGGGCCGCCTTACGGACGTTCACACTTCTTTTGGACCGGGTCGATGAATTGCAGGACAGGAAGTTGAGGCGATCACATTTTGATGGCGGAACGGTAAATTACAACCTAGCATAAACACATGGAATTTGCGCGAAACATGAACCTAATTTCAAAAATTGTCCTTATACTTTTTCGATTTTTTAAGCGGATAGCATTCTGCTTCATGATTATGGCGACGATAATTCTTATAATAACCAAGGCCTATAATTAGCGCAACTCGATTTTACTCTGTGCAAAGCCAGACTCGTGATTTTGAAAGTCCATACCTGTATAATGTTATTGTAAACTGTCTATATTGGCCTATAGCTGTCAATGTTTGGCCACAGACCGGAGACACTGATTGTGAATAAGTAGTATCGAGATCTATCTATTTGGCAATAATAATTATTTTCATATTAGGTTCATTCACAAACAATTTTTGATGCTTTTTAGAACCAGCTTTGCTCATAACAAAAACAAACAATTATGTTTTTTTCTGTCTTTGGGTTCACGTGAGTAGCTTCACGGATGTCGACACAAAACGCACATGGTTGGTGAGGATGACGTTCACAGAAAAAATGATACCGCTATTATAGTGTTATAATTTTAGAATATAAACTAATATAAAATATAAAACTAATGTGTGCTATAAAAAAACGGGGTTTCTTGAGCTTGTAATAGGCCAATATATTTTTTATCTACTGGAATTCTTTAACTGTAGAAAAGAAAGTCGTCATCTGTCAAACTGCCCATGCGTAAGCTTTGTATCACGTGGTATTCCCCATGCCTACAACTTGGTTTGTGATGATGCTTATGCTTCGCACGGAGGCTGTGAGTAATAATTAGATAGGCATGGAGACCTTATAAAAACTTTTATTCAAAAACAATAGTTCAACTAAATACAAATTACTTTAACAGTTTCCTTAACAATTTTATTTCTCAATGGTGTTTTTTCGCACAAGTCAGTTCGAATGAATGTTGTGGTTAGATAAGATGTCAAAATCGAACTTGGGCTGGCTGAGGTTCGGCTTACGTTCAGATATAAAGTTGGGTCGGCCCAGGGCCCCCATTGTGGGACCTGAGCCGACTCAAAAGTCGGATTAGGTCGGCTCAGGGCCGGCTTAATATTTATTTATTGTTCACACTTAAAAATTCCCGACACTGGGCCGGTCCTGAGGCGGCCCTGGGCCGACGTAACTCTCAAGTGTGATTGGGCTCTATCCCCCTGACACAAAAATCAAGATATGTGCTGAGTGGGTTTGAATCAAGCAAAGTATTAAATAATTATTAATGATTATACAATTTGGGGTTGGGTCAACCATCTTATCTCCAGTGATTTGGCTCACTTTAGTTGACCCCGGTCTCCCCAAATTTCGGTTTTATTTTTGTAACTTTCTGTTTTGCACATTATGTTGTTTGAAAGACCTAATAAATAATGAAATGAAACAATTAATCCGAACCGAACATCATCAAATGTTCTTAAGCCCCATAAAAATATATTCAAACAATAATAATAGGGTCAAAAATAAACTTTGTGCTGCCACTGACATAAAATCTAAAAAAACTAGGATCAGGAGTTTTTTTTAAATATTTTCTTTTACATTAAACACAAAAAAAATTCTCTGACTACCAAATGTTGGTATGGTTGGGCAATGCAACACATTTCTTTTTACAGTACCTAATAATGTTTTCAAGCTATAAATAACATCTCCTTTACCGTGGTCATTGGCTCACTCTCGTGGGAGTAAACTTAATTGTATTGCATATATTTGGCATAAATGATTCATTTGAATGCTAAAACATCAAAATGAGAAAAATCATGTTTGTAAGGAGGATGCAATAGATCAAGGTGAAAAGTATAGATAAATCTATAGAAAAACCCAAAAATGAAAACATTTTAATGAGTAAATTATAGGCCTACAATTTACTATGGGGCAAAATGAATTATTGGTTGTTAAAATTGTAACAAGGCTGAATCCATGATTAAGACCAAATGTATTATTAATGGCCTTTTCAAGCACTATTAATTATATTTTGGCTCTGTTTCATATTGTTTCATCAAAATATATATTTTGTCAAAAAAAAAAAGTCAATCCTAGATTTTTTTTATTAGAATTAAGAACACCAAGTCATCGGATATTCACAGGAGGTTTCAAAGTGATGGGGGTACATTCTGTATTTCATTAATAAATTAGTATTCTAAAGATGAAGCTATAATAATACTATGGTTTTACAGTCTCACTAATCTACATAATGAGATGCAATATTTTCCTTAACATGCATACTGCTTCCAAGAAATGTGCTAACTGTGTTCTATTGAAAACCTTATTGAGTAAAAATGAAAAAATGCACAAATTAAAATATATTTTAAAGATATTTTTAATAATTTGCTATTTTTTTGTAAATTATATTATATTTTCACATTTCAGGTTCAATTTTTTAAAGTAATTTTTTAAATCTATACAATTTATAGTCAGTTTTGTTTCTGCTTTAAAAGTAGCAGATTTTGGTTGGCAGAAGAGGGGATCATGGACGTACACATACCTGGTAGCACCGGCAAAAACATTAAAAACCTAAATACACAAATTAGACATTCACTTGGATTGTCTTCCGGAGTACTGCCCAATAACCACTGGAAGGACCAAACCGGAAGTAAGTCTTCTTCTAGACTTTCGTAGGCTATCCTTGGTGTTTACACCGAATAAATCCAATCACTACTACTTTCTTCTTATTAATTAAGAATGGCCATCAATTATGATTAAGCATTGGTGCTTCTTTTTGTTATACTTAAATCAGATAACAGACTAGGAACTGCCTTGCTTCCCAGGGGCATATTTATTTTTTTTATGTTTTTGTATGTTCTTTTGCCCTTTTGTATTTTGCCGAAATGAAATATATAAAATAAATATTGAAATGGGACATGTACTTCATTTACAGTATGACCTTCACTGATCATCACTCTCTCACTCGGTGGCAGATCCAGAAATTCGAAATAGAGGGGGGGCCTACTGTAGAAAGAAACTTTCACATACTGTATGGACCGTCTATACCATCTCAGCCCCACCATGGGTGGGGCTGGGAAAAAAAAATGTATGATTATGTCATCTCTAGATGGCCGGAAAAGGCACTCTCATACATCAAATTTGAGTATAATTTTCATTATTTTTTTAATTTGAAATGTTTAGGGGTCCTGGCTAGCTACCCCTCCTTAAATTCTCCCTACACTCACGCTAGCCATTCGCCAATGGCGAATTCAGATACTGTTTGGCGAAGAAAAAATTTGCATCGTTCGCCAAAATGGTAAGAGTGAACGCTAAAACGATATTTCTTTGGCGATTTCGTTATTTAAAACATAGTTTATGTATTATTTAAAATAATACATGTATTCCGAAAATTCGAATCTCTTCTAATTCCGAATGTATTATTCGGTCCAAACACAAAAATCAACTTCTTAAAACAGGACGATCAGTTAAAAAAAAAAAAAAAGCATAGGTCTAGCAGATGTCGTGAAAACGAACTGTCCTGCCATGCCATGAAGATTACAATAAATTGATTAAAATGACACGACAGAATATTAAATAAAATTTAAGTTAAACCTTCCATCAAAAAAAACTCAAAGCATGATTCGGGTGATTCTTTTCAGTAGCCTGGCGTTTTAAAAAACTTGAGTGCTATTTTATTTTATTTATTTTATTTTATTTATTTCCAGGCAAGACAATACAGTACAATAGATAAGAGAAACAAATGACAAAAAAAAAACAAAAAGCCTGAGGATTACCTAAAAGCGAACTTAATCACTATCTAAAGGCTCTCCAAAACATTAAAAAGACAAACATTAAAATCTGAAAAATTCACAATCCATATATGTAGAATATAAAAAATTAATAATAAATATTACAAAGAGAATTACAATTTCATTAAGGTAAAAATATAATTTAATTAATTTAATATGATTTAATTTTAAAAATATTGCTTAAGTACATATTTAAATTTTGTGGAATTAATTGCACATTCCCTAATATTTGGAGGTAGGTCATTCCATAAATAAGGAAAATTAATTTGAAAAGGGTACCATGCCGGGATTCCATATTCAAGTATAGGTCTACAAAGGGTCTTAAAAAGTAACATCAGGGAAACGGGGTTATTGCAACGGACAATTCTTTTTATAAAACCAGAAAGTCTTGAGGCCTTAGCAGTAATCATATCAACATGTGCGCTCCAAGAAAGGTTATGAGAAATTATAAAGCCAAGATATTTGTATGTTTTAACTGTATCCAGTGACTGATTTCCAAGAAAGTATTTAGTATCAGCAACACGATTACTCCGAGTAATATGCATTGTTTTGCATTTATCAACATTAAGAGCCATATTATTTTTGCCGCTCCATGAAAGTAGATGATTAAGGTCAGATTGAAGAGAAATAGTATCATTGAATGAAAATATGGGACGATAAACAATTG